CAGCAGCTCCAATTGATTCAAGCTTTAAAAGCAACGGAGCAAATGGAGAAGGTGAAGGAAATGGATGCCAATACTAAAAAAGTTAAGAAAAAGTTGCAAAAGCTGGAAATGAAGCAAGTTACGGAAGAGACAAAACTCTTACAGCTACAAATGGATAAAGAAAATTTGGTCCTATGGTTTCAAGGGGTCCCGGAACTTAATGGAGAGAATCTGAAGCAACGGCTGAGTGAAGCAATAGCCCCAATGACAGATTTAACAGCAGAGTACCTTTGCAGCGAGATGGATGTGGTCTACAGATCCTATTCATCGTACATCAAGAAAAATAATCTGCCTGGGGAAATAGTGGTCAGATTCTCGAAGAGACATGTGAGAGATGTTATTTTGAAAGCAACTTCAGGAATACCCTTGAGAATTGGGGACAATAATATCAGGATTTTAAAACACATTCCATTTGATATAAGGCAGAAGAGAAAGAACTATAAAGAATTAATCTTTTTCTTACAAACAAATGGCATCAGTTACAGATGGTTAATCTCAGAAGGCATCATTTTCAACCTCAACGATAGAAAAGAAAAGATTGACTCTGTTTTCAAAGCACGGGAATTTCTGCGAACACAGCTTGGGGGAATGAGAGAAGGGCAAAGGGGAGGAAGAAGAAAGCAAATCTGATGGCGTGTTGAGCTCGGTGACTTCGGACAAGGACTCCCCTTCTGAAAAGGGGGCGGCTGCCTCCAAAAGCCCATATAAACTGAGGATTAGAAAAGATAAGAATAAATAAGGACTCTGATGTGTGCCTGAAAAAATGTTGAAATAACTTGGGGATGCTCTGGGAATTTCTTTTAACAGTTAAAGGGATGGTTAAATGATATTAATCTAGCAGAACCGACTAAGTTCATTGTATTACTGATTGTTTTTTGAAAATAGCATGATGATAAACTGAGATATTGATCTCCTACTCTTGGGTTTCTTTTTTATTCTCCCCTAGATGTAGTTCCCTTCGCCATATTTTCTGTTGTAGTTTTGTAAAATTCTGTGCTGCCTTTCTACCCGAATAGGTTCTCCAAGGTGGCGAACATTAAAAACATTTCAACGTGAGAACTTTTGAGACATTGAAACAGTATTTAAAATAAAGTATATATGAAATAGTTAAACAATTCAGCAAAACGTATAAACACAGAAAGTCGCCAGAACATCGCAACCAGGAAATGGGCCAATAATACCGGTAGTGCGGGAATGCCACTGATAGAAGACAAGGACGGTGGAACAGATGAATTCCCTCTGGGGAGACTCCTACAGCAGTTTCAATGAGGTCACTCACGAGTACTTCTAACTGAGCACTTAGGTAAGCATTTTCACTATGGAGCATTTTCACTATCAACGTAAATGTCTCTGGTGGTAAATGCAATCAAGATGTGAAGAGAGCTCAAGGCAGCCATGACGTAATCAGATTCTAAGAAGCCGTGTGGAATACATAGTGGACAGTAATTTTTAGATCTCACATAACTAGGGCTGTGGTGGCTCAGAGGTTAAGATGCTGAACTGCCGACCAGAAGGTCTGTAGTTCAGCAGTTCGAGACCCTAGTGGTGTGTGATGGAGTGAGCTCCCGTCTCTGGCCCCAGCTCCTCCCAACCTAGCAGTTTGAAAGCAAGAAACTGCAAGCAGATAAATAAGTACCGCTTCGGTGGGAAGGTAACACCATTCCGTGTGCCTCAATATTTAGTCATGCCGGCCACATGACCATGGAAACATCTTTGGACAGCGCTGGCTCTTCGGCTTGGAAACGAAGATGAGCACTGCCCCCTAGAGTCGGATTTGACTGGCTTTCGAGCAAGGGAAAACTTTACCTAAAAAATGCCTTATGCATCTTATGTACCTTTTCTGCAGGAGGCTGCTGGGTTATTTGCAGCTCACCCCCATCACATTTTCCCATAACTATTTAATTTTATCGATTTCA